TGCCTCAGGACTTCTCTTGCAGAGAGTCGACGCATGGGATTTCATTGTCCAAATCCTTCATCTTCAAATGCTGCTATGTTGCTTGTCGCAAGGGGCCCTGAGGGGTTGGTTTGAAGCCAAGTTGAAGACCTTGTGTTTTTCTGGTTTACCTCTGACAAAAATGTGGATGCTGCAGAATCGGCGAGCCCGATAAGAAAACTATTTTTTAGCTTGTGCAGGCCGCAGATTGACTTCAATGCTTCACTTTTTTGGGTGGATTTGTGATTCCCCGTTCTGCAAAGCACGTGTTGCAGAACAGGAGGTCGTTTCTCTTCTATTCATTCTGCGCTGATGACACCAGCCTGGTGTCACTCTCCGGAAGATGCAAGTGGCGTCTACGCTCTACGCGTGGGTCACGAGGGAGAAGCAGACAAGTTAGAAGGCTTGTTTGTTAGATTTTTGTACACTACAGCTAGTATCACCAATAGGCAACGAACTTCAGAAAGCTTAAGGAGATTTAAGGAGCAACATGCTGGTCATTCGGAATTTGTACTCCTTTGTGGTTCGACGTGTTAGACAGCCAAGCAGAAGCGTCACGCATGCAATGGGCAGCAAGTTTGCTGCAAGGATGCACTGAAAAATGTGTTCCTTTTGTGGGAGGAAACAGCCCCTGACACCATGCTATGTTGTTGAGATGTTTTGGAAGAAATTGCCAAACTAGATAATGAGAACGCTCACAACTTTTGGGTGGCACGGCGCATACATTGCCATGAGATGAAGTGTGTGACCAAGCCATGCCGCCAAGGGCCACCAAACTCATGCCTGTTCTAGATCGACCTTCCGATTCAATTGGTTCAAGCACTATCCAGTTTTTACATGACGTTGCTTACGAAGTTGTTGGGGGAGCTTGAGCATGCACTTAAATGACGTTTGTTTTGCACATGTCGAGATGGTTGGCCCACGGGTCCTCACAGAGGTTTGGTAGCATCAAAACAGAGTGGTGTTGGTAATGCAGGGGTTTGGACTTGGTTGCAGCTCCAGCATGGGGTCAAGATTGCTACTGTGGCCTACAAGCACTGCTCCCCTAGCAGCAAATATTATTGCATATTATCGCAAGCACGAAAAAATCAAGAAGTGACGTCAAGGCTTGTCGCTGTGCGCCAAAGTTCATGAGTGACCAGCCGCTGTTGGATGGTGCGTGCAGTTGAATTTGCACAGGGTGGTTTCGTATGCGTATATTTGTGTCGGGGAAAGACTCGGTGCCTATAAAGGACTAGGACGGATGGACCAGGAAATTATGAAACTGCTGTTGCTTGGAATGAAGGGCTTCCTGTGATAGCCGGCAAGCTCGAAGAATCTGAAAGGCTTTGGTTTGAGCAAAGGAAAGGCACACTTGCTGCTCCAGACCGTGATTCCTGCAGTCGCATGTGCATGGACTTCTTGGTTGTGTTATGTTGTGTTGCTCTTATATATAAGTTGAGAAACCGACAGATCACCAGATTTTATGGCGGTGAGCTGACAGCTGACTCAACTTTGAAGGCTCGCAGGTGCCATCCCAATTGTTTTTTCATGTTTTCTCGTCAGACCTCTCCTAGGCAGTGCCACAGTGTCAGCTAGCTCAGAGGGCAGTGTCAAAACTGAGCTTGCTAGCATCGCCATTCAACCGATTTTGTCGGATGTCGCCAACTGGAAGAATTTGAGGTCACAGGGGTGGCTATTCGTACAGCAGGCACTTGCGCAGCAACTCGTCGTTCTTGCATCTCCGTGGCTCATTGTCAAGTAGCGATATGCTTGGTTGATTGAGGTGTGGGACTACGCCACGTATGCCATATATGCTTCAACATCATTACTTCATGGTTGAAGAGCATACCGTTACAAGTGTTGACTTGACTATATTTGAAGGTGGCTGCGGTGTTTTCATGTGTCCTTCGCACCTCTCGATGTTCCATTTCACAAGAGGCCGTGAAGAGTTCGAGAAGAAATGTGTGGCCTTCTCCCTCTCCTGGTTCAACTAGGAGAGGAGGGCTGGAGAGGAAACGTGCTGAAAGCCTGTCGTTTGTTTACAAATCCTGGGTTGGTCTGTCCGCTTCTCTCCTGGACAACCCTGCTGATGTTGTCCATGTTGTCCAACTCCTCCTGATAGAAAAAGCGGAACGGCTTAAGAAAGAAACTGAAGCAGGCTGTGTGCGGTCTTGACAGCAAATTATTAGGCAATGCCGGACAAGACGTGAGTGGACCATCCTTGTCAGGCATGAAACCGGCGCTTGAAACTGGGGTGTGCCACCCAAGTGGTTTCCTCGTCACGTTCCATCCCTAAAAACGCCTAAACATATCATGTCGTCACTAGGCGGTGCCACAACGTCAATCAATTCATGGGGGGTGCCGAAACTGAGCTTGTTGGCCCAGCTGTTCAATCAAGTTTCTAGGACATCTTTAGCAGCAGCTCGAGGAAGTTGATGCCATCGGAACCATGCATCGTTCTTCCGTGTTACCCTTTGCTCGCGATGAGATTGATGTCTGATGCAAGTTTCAGAAAACCATCACGCAGGCCTTCGGGCCATGGGGCGTGGCGCACTTCTTTCCAGTTTATGTTCCCTTCAATGTCACGCAACAGCTTTGCATGCCAGCGTCTATTTGGCCATGGTTCTTGGAAAGTGAGGAATGGTTTGAGCAAAGTGCTGAAGCCTGTTTCGCAAACCCATTGCTCCCTTTCGCCGGGACTACGCCACGTATGCCATATATGCTTCATCATCATTACTTCATGGTTGAAGATCATACCGGTTACCGCTACAAGTGTTGACTTGACTATATTTGAAGGTGGCTGCGGTGGTTTCATGTGTCCTATGCACCTCTCGATGTTCCATTTCATGGGGGCCCATTCTGATGCTGTTAGCGGACAACAGCTCCAGAGCAACCCAATGATCTCGCAAGGGCAACCAACATTTCAAGCAAACGCTCGGAGTCCAAAATTTACTGCTGTCCATGATAAAAAGCGGAGTGTAAATATTTCATCGGTGGGCCAATTTTGTTCGATGCAGCTGTTCGTGCCCGCGTAATATGACAAAGCACCTTCACAGGTTGAAGCAAAATCCATTCAAAAGCCACAGTTCGTGTTTGTCACAAGGCAAGCATCTGCTAATAGGTGCTGGGTGGAAGAAACAGCCCCTGACACCATGCTATGTTGTTGGGATGTTTTTGAAGAAATTGCCAAACTTCGCTACTTCAGATCACAGCTTCAGAAAACAGAGAGGCCCCCAGCCCAAGCACTCACCTCAGCCAATTTCTGGCTGCACCGGGTACAAGCCCAGGTAATGAGAACGCTCGCAACTTTTGGGCTGCACGGCGCATACATTGCTATGAGATGAAGTGTGTGACCAAGACATTCCACTCCTGGTCTATGGGTGAAGCATGGTCGAGTGCAACGCAATCCTTTGTGCAGGGGTCTTGGGCCCTAAACCTGTTTCCCTGTTCCGCGAGATCAACCACCAATTCAATTGGCTAAATCGTTCAAGCGGTGCTATCCACCTTCTACATGACGTTGCTTACATTTGCTTACGAATTTGTTGGCGGAGCTTGGGCATGGACAACTGGATGGACACAGCTTCGCAAATTCAGCTGCAAGGTGGCCGCGTTGCAAAGCCATGGTTTTCAGCCTCACGGATCTTCATAGCATATATAGCATGCTTCAGCTAGTTTGGCCGCGGTGTTCCTGTGTGCCCCATACGTCCCAGTATTCCATTTCACAAGAGGCCGTGAAGAGTTCGAGAAGAAATGTGTGGCCTTCTCCCTCTCCTGGTTCAACTAGGAGAGGAGGGCTGGAGAGGAAACGTGCTGAAAGCCTGTCGTTTGTTTACAAATCCTGGGTTGGTCTGTCCGCTTCTCTCCTGGACAACCCTGCTGATGTTGTCCATGTTGTCCAACTCCTCCTGATAGAAAAAGCGGAACGGCTTAAGAAAGAAACTGAAGCAGGCTGTGTGCGGTCTTGACAGCAAATTATTAGGCAATGCTGGACAAGACGTGAGTGGACCATCCTTGTCAGGCATGAAACCGGCGCTTGACAGAGCCATGACACCGAAACTCGCGAGCGCATAGCAATCTACCGATGCGGATGGAATGTTCTGAAGTTGCAGCCTCGTGTAGTACTATCTTAAACCGTTTCCGACCACTCCGCGAGATCGCAGATTGCAAGTTTGGGCTTGAGCGGACGGTTTGTTGAGGTTCAAAAATCAATGCGGCGCGTGCTCTGTGGCTCTAATATTTGATATTGTTGGAGGAAGCTATTTTGAGAGATAGGTGGATCCAGGTTCGGATTTCCACTACAGAATGGGAGGACTTGTGCTCTGTATAATTTACAGTATTTAACATGGTATTTTTCCCACCTGCCAGGTGAGGGATGTTCGATTTTATCAGAGTCACTTGTCCTCGTCCTCCTCATCCTTATCTTTTGAAACCGGGGGCATCTGAGCTGTTTCAGAGTCACATAGTTGAATGAAATTGAGTCGATTTGTCGATTGAAACCGGCTTGCTCCCATGAAAAAGATGGAAAGCAGCGTAAACAACAACTGGTACTTCCATTTCTTCCTTCGAAGTCCACATAGTCCGAAGGTCTTGTGCAAGCAACAGTCGTTTTTCGTAAATTTGCATGCGGCCTTCTGCCTTCTGAACGCCCTTAGGTGCGCACGTGTTCAATTTCAGTTTTGTTTGCGTTTGTTTTATCGCATTTTTCCGCTGCCAGTGTTGGGTCAAACAAGCTAGTGGTCATCAGTGCAATCAATTGCGGCCAAAGCATCCAACAACAAGTGGAGGTCAGATGTCTATGATCCAGCATGATCCAGCCATTGCAAATATTACGTCCGCCAACCGCCAGCCTAGAAATTGTTCACAGACCATGGGGGTCCGGCTCAATTCTGTTGGGCCCACACAGCCCACACATCGGGCGCACAGAACCAATCATATTTGGAGTCTGATTACCGCACGATCTGGGTCGAATAAGCGTGAGCTGGGCAATACGGTTCCCCATGTGCGGTTGATGATGGGCAGTTGTTTTTTTTGAAAAAAACACATTGCGATGAAGTGTTTCCAATGTTGCCGCCTCTGCACCAAAAGTCCGGCAAAGGCCTGGGGCCGTTGCAGTTTGTTGACGATGGCAATTGTTTTATTTTGAAGCGGGTTTGTTGGACACATTTTTGGGAGGTACCTTGTTTTATCCGTATGGCTTTCCTTCACATGCTTGAATGTATTTGATATATAATATAATATATTGACATTAACATTTGCTCGCTACATTTGGTGGCAAGTGTTTACTTAGCGGTAGGCAAACCAAATGCGGAATGCTGCCAGCAGGTCAGCAGTCGTTAGAGAATTTAGGGGGTTTTCCGCAAAAACTCCGTACGGTGGTTGCCATGAAGGTCAGCTTTTTTTTTCTCGCTCATTGTTATGATTGCCCAGGACTTGTATTTGCTGTAGTTTTTTTCTTTTTCAAATAAGTTTTCTATTGTTTTTCGTCGTTTTGTCGCTACAAACACCCGATGGACATGATGGACCAACGTGATGCGGAGTGAAACGATCGATTGTTTGTTTGCCTTGCCATGACGAGGATTCGGGCATTGATTCAGAGACGGAGACGGAGTCGGAGAGTAGCATCATCGATGAGGTTGGCCTGTGCACAATACGGGGCTGGCACCGATCGGATTTTTGATGTGTCAGTAGTCGGATTTATAATTGGAAGTAGTATCAAATATGGGATTCAAAATGTCGGAGTTGTTTCAATGAACGGGAAGAGGTTGGTGAAAGTATGTGGCCATGTTCATTTTGGTGGCGGGATGCCGAAAGTGTTAGTGGTGATAGATGCAAAAGTCTTTGTCCCGAGTTCTACTTGCGAAGACCATTCCTGTTATGTTGGGAACCCTCGCGTTTTTTTTCTCCGAGTGAAATTTTTATTCGCAAAAAGTTTGCGAAAATTAAATTCTAGATATTATGAATAATAATTGTATATAATTAGCTAAATCCAAGAATGGTGAGAACAAGGTTTTGACTTGTACCCTACCGTTCTGGTACGAGAAGGGGTGCGCACGGGGCGTGCGGGGTGTGCGTACGGGGCGTACGGGGCGTGCGGGGTGTGCGTGCGGGGTGTGCTTTCGGTGCGCGCGGTGTGCGCGTACGGTGCGCGCGGTGTGCGCGTACGGTGCGCGCGGTTTGTGCGTACGGTGCGCGCAGGAGTCGTGTACAGTATGCATGGGGTGTGCATACGGTGTGTGCGTATGTCTGAGCACGTGCAGGGTGCGAGGGGCACATGTGCTGTATAGTTGCGGCGTGTAACCGTAGGGTTTATAATAAGGTGTATGGAGAGGTACCTTTTCTGTTCGAAAACCCGGCAGTACTGTTTTGATTGCTTGCTGCAAGCTGAGGAAAACAAGATAAATAGTTCCAGGTACGGTATAGACAATTAGTGGGCAGGTGTGTGGTCTTGCAGGAAGCCAGCGAGTTAGTCTTTGCCGTGCCAACTCCCTGCTGCGTTGCAGAGAAATAAGACGAAGGAAGAAAACAAATGATTTTCTTGACCACCAGGTTTTCAGAACGCCTAGCATGTTGAGTTAAAAGTATTACGTTCCACATCACTTTTTTTCAAGCGCATCCTTGGTCTTTGCTTGCTCCAGTAACCCAGAACTCTATTTTTGTGCCAACACCTAGAAATGCATGCGTTGAGTTTCTTTTTCGATCATTTTGAACGAAGCGAGGGAAGCTAGCCGCCCAGAAAAATAAAGCAAGGGACACGGGATGGTCTTGCAAGAAGATTCAGGCGTGAGGTGCCCTGCCAGAAATTGTTTACGGATATTGTAATTTTCTAGTATCAAAGTTCTAGGTTTAATGAACTGCGTAACATATCCGCAAGGCATTTACAAGCAAGGCAAGCTGCTTACAAGTCCGTAAAGTGCTGTATAACTGAGTTGTAACTTCAGATAGAACCGTAAAGGAAGTTGCAAGTATCTGCATATAGCATGAAAATATTTGAAGCACTCGCGCTACGTATCTTATCTTTAAGTCATCTCTTTAAAGGGCTGAACATGCTGAAAGTTGTTCACGCTTCATGGCACAAGAAAAGTTGGGTCGAGAATAATTCCCGAAAGGATACCGTTGAAATAAGAGAAACCGAAAGGATTGAACATGGCGAAACGAAGGAAGAAAAAATGTTTGCAGCCTTTTTGAGAGCAACAATGACTTTTCAGGAAGTGCGTTCAAAGTTGCGGCTGGCGCGCCGTTGGTTGGATTGACGCGCTACGCTTTGAAATAGAAAGGAAAAAAACCGGAAGAGTCTTAAACTTAACACGAATTCCAGAAGTTCTCCGATACCCCCCCTTTGTATTGCAAAATACGGCCTTCAGAAGTTGAGATTTCTTTGTATTCCCAAAGATTATTGATTGATTGACATGTACACCGTCATGCACAACGAGAAGATGGGAAAAATCCAGCAAGTTCAAAACAATCACCTTCCTGAAACTTTTTTGGTTTTCAGAAATGACCGGGCAGTTTCTGATTTTTCTGAATGTTTTTTCTAATATCAAAAATGTCACAAACTTGAAAATTGAAAAACCAGACACTCAGTTTTCTGTTTTTTTTCCCTGATCTTTGTCCCTTTTTCGTTCTTTTCAACATGAAGAGAAATATAGAGAAGTTGAGCCAAAACGAACAAGGTCATAGAAATTTAGCTTTCTGAGCTCTCTGCTTCTCTTTGTGAACTTTTCCTGTTTTATTTTGCTTTACAATCAGAGCGTAAAGCTGTCAAGGCTCAGAGAACTGAAATTCAATTTTTTTTCCTTTTCATTGTCTGAAAAATGGGTCTTAGGATAATAAGAGTTCAGCCACAAAAGCGAACTGATTCAAATTAAGATTCCGGATTTTCTTTAATTACTGTTCAGCTTCAAAAGGTTTAAGACAACAAGATAAAGATCCAAAAATCATTTTTTTTGTTTGTCTAACTTTTTTCTGTTAAAACCAAGTTTGTTAAAACTGTCAAAAGGTCGGAAATTCAGTCTTGCGATTTTTCCGGATTCGCTTCCGACGTAAGCTGAATTCAATATTCACAGCAATTCAGTTTTCAGATTTTTTCTTGCAGAACTTGTTTGATTTTTCTACAAATAAAGATTTTTGAGCCTTTTCTGGCATTTGTGCCAATATCAGTTTGCAATCGCTTCCAATAATCCACAATCAGGAGATGCTTTTAGAAAAAAGTTCAGGCATTGAGATCTCAGAACTGTCTTGAATCCTTTCGGAAATGTCGAATATTTTCGGAACATACACAAGCATATGCCCTTTTTGTATCAAAATTTGGAAAGCTGAACGCCTCCTCCAAACAATTACTGAACTTTCAATCAAAGAATTGATCTGCACAGGCTTCAGAAAATGTTCCACAAGGATCGGAATTCTTATTTTTTCAAGCGCGCAGTTTATTAAAATTATGTTTCCTTTAGCATTTTCTCAGCTATGGCCGTACTTTGAAATTTCTGACTTTGCAAAGGTTGAAAACATTGTCAAAAACATTGAAGAGCTAGTCGTGAAACATTATCAAAGCTTTCAAGGATGAAAAGGTTCTTGGAAACAGCTGCAAAAAAAAATCAATGCAGCTGCTTCAGAAGATTTTGCGGCATCATGTTGGAATTCCAGCAGAAGCTTCTCAAACTCAGTATATGCAAGCCAAAACTAGCAGTCTTCGTTGGGTCAAATTCGGCAGCAGCTTATGCATAAGCGGCAGCGGAAAAGAAACGAATACTATCTGAACCCCCCCGCTGCTTCATGACGATAAAAATGATGCCGAAAGATGGGGTGGCAACCGCACAGATAGTGTACCACTTTGTTTGCAAACCTGCGGTGTCTTTATCTTGCGGCATTGCGTGGGCCTTGGTGCCGCGCGCGCGAAGATTGGAAAGTACCGGCTGGCCTGCAGGGGGGCAATGCCCCGGTCCCAATTTATTCCGGTCAAAATTCATTCCGGGCTACGTGAGGGTGTTGGCCATACATCTCCTTCCTATAATAAGGTTTGCCCAAGACTTCCAGTGTGGAAGGGTTGACCAAAGAGAGCGCGACGTGTCGTATAGTATTAGATATTATTCAATCCAGTAAACTATATTTGCGCCGCCGTATACAGGCACTGCTGACCGCACGCGCGCACCGTACGCTCGCACGTACGCACCGTACGCTCTGACCGTTCGCAAATTTTGGTGGCAAAATCGAGCGTTTTGTTAGCAAAATCAGAGGTTTTGTCAGCAAAATCCAGGATTTTGGAAGCAATTTTGCGCGCGCAGTGCGGGCGCGCAGTGTGAGCGCGCAGTGTGCGCGTGCAGTGCGTGCGGGCAGTGTGTGCGCGCAGTGCGCGCGCACAGTGTCACTGCGTGCAGTTAACTGCGCAGATTGATATTTGCTTTGAGCTTGCTGCGAGCATCTCGCGCTGTACAGATTTGAGATCTCGTGCAGATGTCCCGCGTTTTTTGGAAAACTGTTTGAAGCTTCTCGTGCAGCTTCCTGATGTCACAGAGTCTGTGCCGAGCCGGCGTGGAGGAAGTACCTGTGGGGACACAAAAACCCCCAGGAAAGCATAGCGTGGTCCTTTTGCCGTTGTTCTTGCTTTCTGTTCCCCTTTATTTGAAGCTGGTTTTGGTTTGCATGGTGTAGATTTGGGGCTGTGTGAGGATCTGTTTGAGCCAAGATGCACCTTACTATAGCAAACTCAAAAGCAGTTACTATCGCGGTGAAATCATCCAAAGTCAAGCAAAACTCTGGCTTTGCAGGGTTTCAACATCAGCTCCGAAACCTTCTTTCGTGGAGGGGCTATGCTCAGGGGAAACATAGCCTGGTGAAGGTGTCTCGAGTCTTGCTTGATAGTTGTTGGTATTTTGCGCATTATTCCTTGCAACTTGTGAGAACAAACGGGAAGGTGTGGGATTTTTAGGTTTTCGACTTCACCTGCGCCACGCGGACGTGTCGTGAAAAAGCAAAATTATTTCGTATCTGCCGCATACTCTTCTTGAACATACAAACCCATATTTTCTTTCAGTTCCAAAGGAGGGCGCAATCTGCAAGGTGCTTGCCCTTAGAGGCAGTAGATTAGCTACCAAGCTGATTAGGATCAATTAGGGGAATGAAAGCGGTCTGACCAAGGTGCCAACCTTGGAACATCATAGGTAACCATTTCCACAGTGTTATTTGCAAAAATCATGGCTTGGCAAGGTCCTTCATCCGTGATGTTGTCTGTGGAGGCTGTGTGTTTTGATTTTTGGAACTTTTGCAGTAACGTTGATTGTTGGAAGTTCTAGGGAAGCTAACATGATTTCGAACACAGCTTTTTGGAAGTTTTTTCCCTGACATTTGCCAGCTCCGTTTCACCTGCTCTAAATGTTAACTAAATTATATGTATATATATATACACACACACCTTGTCACGACTAGCTCTTCAATGTTTTTGACAATGTTTTCAACCTTTGCAAAGTCAGAAATTTCAAAGTACGGCCATAGCTGAGAAAATGCTAAAGGAAACATAATTTTAATAAACTGCGCGCTTGAAAAAATAAGAATTCCGATCTTTGTGGAACATTTTCTGAAGCCTGTGCAGATCAATTCTTTGATTGAAAGTTCAGTAATTGTTTGGAGGAGGCGTTCAGCTTTCCAAATTTTGATACAAAAAGGGCATATGCTTGTGTATGTTCCGAAAATATTCAACATTTTCGAAAGGATTCAAGACAGTTCTGAGATCTCAATGCCTGAACTTTTTTCTAAAAGCATCTTCTGAATTTGGATTATTGGAAGCGATTGCAAACTGAAATTGGCACAAATACCAGAAAAGGCTCAGAAATCTTTATTAAACAATTTTTGAAAAAAAAACTGAAAACTCATTTTCCGATTTCCCTGTGCTTTGAATGTTCTGAATATTGACTTCAATTTACGTCGGTAGAAAATCAGGAAAAACAAAACAGTTCGGAAAACTGATTGGCTGGGCTGACCTTTTTCTTGTTTGTTCTGACATACATACTGAATCCACAAGCAAAAAAAATGATTTGTGGATTTTTCCTGAACCTGTTAGAATGTTCAAACAAGGCAACATTTTTAGAGCAAAACGGGACAAAACTAGAACAATGATTTTCTTCCGCCTTTTGCCTGCTTTCATTGCAGAAGCAGTTTAAAACAGAAACAAAGCAGAAGAGAAAGGCAAACTTTGAATCACGCTTCGGGTTTTTCAACCTTTCCAAAAAACGAAACACAAAAAGTTCAGATAAATTACGAAAAAATCCAAGAAAACAGGTTTTCTGCTTTCTGAATTTCTTCTTCATATTAATTGAAAAAATCGAAAAGGAGAAAAAACACTAAAGACAGCTTCAGAAAATTGAAATTATTATGACCTTGGTCTTTTTTGTAAACTTCGTGGTGTTCAAAAAACAGTTTTGAAAGTGGCAGTTTTCAGTCAAGTCAGAAACTGCTCCGACAGTTTCACTTTTCAAGAATACATCTGTCAGGTCTTTCAAAAACCAGAAGCAAATTTCAGGAATATGAATTTTCGAATTCTTCTCATTTTGCATGATTATGCAAATGCTGATCAGTCAGACCAGGTCAGAAAACCCAAGAATTATCATTTTTTACAAACATGGTTCGAGAACATATCGGAGAACTTCTGGCTTCAAAGCTCAAAACTTTTCTGACCCTTGTCATTTACAAGACCTATTGTTTTTTCCAAACAATAGCGCGCCAACGGAAATTTTCAATGTACTGAAAGTCATTCCTGCGCTCAGAACGGCTAGGACAAGCCCTTTTTCTTCCATCGCTTCGTGCAACTTCAATCCTTTCGGGTTCCCTGGTTGCAGCAATATCATTGTCACAACAGAAATGTTTGTTTTGTAGTAGAATTTGGATAACTTTAGATAATTTCAGCACAGCAGTTGTGCCAAGCGCTGTGCCACACATGTTTTGAATGGCCTATAGATAGGATACATACGTTAGGTTCTTCAAATCCTTACATCATACGTAACAAAGTTGCAACTTCATCTATGGTGCTACCCGAACCTACAACTTTTTATTGATAGATACAACATTTTCGTACTTGCGCACAGATTGTAGAGTACAAACACTTCACACACATGTTCAAAACCCGTAACCATCTGTAGACATTGATAACTTGGAATGTCCAACCTCCATGGATATCTTACAACCTGAGCCTCATCCGTTCCAATTTATCTGTGAAACTGTGAAACTCACCATTGAGATTGAGTGCTGGGGTTTTAACAAGCCGAGAGCCGATGTGTATACAGCGTATATGTTCCAGCAGGGGGTTAGGACTATCATTGCGCGCGTGTATCGCGCACTGCATGCATCACTGCGCGCATATATCGCGCACCGCACGCGCGCACCGCACGCGCGCACCGCACGCGCGCACCGTTCACCGCACACGTTCGCTTTCGGAGGGGTCAAACGTTCACCACTCTTGAGTTTAGATAAGTATATAACTTGTAAAGGGCTACCCCCCCCTGTCGCCCGGGGTCTGGCAGGTGAAGGGCGCTGGAGAATTTCGGTTTGGTTCTGCTTCAGTTCCCTGTTTGGTGTTTTTGGACATTCAGCCTTCCTTTCATAGGTAGGAACCGAGCTTTCAAGTACGGCTTTGCCACAGCGAAATATTATGGCTTGTACTTGCCGCTGGTACTGCCTAATGTTGCTTTTTGAATTCCCAAGAGATAAATTCCAAACGCAGCAGCCGAGGTTCCAAAAACCAAATTCCAAGAAAATGCTGATGGCTCGGGTTTGCGGATCGGGATATTTTCACGAAAGTTCCGCAAAAGTTCCACGAAGGAGCTGGCGGAAGTCAAAGTGATTTTTTTTGGGGCCCAGTAAACCTTGATAAAATGAGCTGGTCAGCAACAAGTTGTCCTGAGAAGGGATTCCGTGATGAAGACATGCAAGGCTGTCAGGAAGTGATCCGTGATCATTTGGTGTAATTTGGCAGGTGATGAATGAATCTTCATACGAGGCATTGTTGCCCAACATGGGCTCCGCGACAGATAAACATGGAGTACGCGAAAGTTTCGCGCAAGTAACCTTTTTATTCGCGAAGAAATGTCCGTTCCCGGGAAAAGGAATTTTGATCAAAATCAAATCAAATCAGTCCCAATGACAGGAGAATGATATAAATAATGTTTTCCATCAGTTTTTTTCTTTGGGATCTCCGTTGTTGAGATGAAGACCACCTCAAATTGGGTCGCCTCTTTCTGCCAGGTGCGCGAGGCGCAGCTGCTGGATTCCTGGCGTTTTTTGCGTGATCTTGTGCATCTGTTTAAAACCGTTCGTGTATAATAGTATATATATAAATATAAATATAATATGGAGGGCTAATTATTTTAGGATTTTTTTTTTGATCAGGTTTAGGAATTATTTTTGGATTCCTGCTTCTCTGCTTTTCCTGCTTTTCCTGCTTTCCTGCTTTTCCTGCTTTTCCTGCTTTTCCTGCTTTTCCTGCTTTTCCTGCTTCTCTGCTTTTCTGTTTTTTTGCTTTTCTGCTTCTCCTGCTTCTCCTGCTTCTCTGCTTTTCTGCTTTTTTGCTTTTCTGCTTCTCCTGCTTCTCTGCTTTTTTGCTTTTCTGTTTTTCCTGTTTCTTTGCTTCTCTGCTTTTCCTGCTTTTCCTGCTTCTCTGCTTTTCCTGCTTCTTTGCCTTTCTGCTGTTTTGCTTTTGTGCGTTTCCTGTTTCTTTGCTTCTCTGCTTTTTTGCTTCTCTTCTGTTTTTTGCTTTGCCTGCTTTAAATACTTGATTTTCATGTAAGATGCATTTTGCACAGTATTTACATCCCTGAGTATCACATGACCAACCTTCTCTTGAAAACTAGCAACGTAACATGTGAGAAGAGGTGCTTGCATTCTGCTTTGGGGGGAGGCGCTGCGCCCTCCCCAATCCCCCCCTCCCGCTTTTTTTTTAATTTAAACTTAAACCCAAGTTACATTAGTTGGTTTTTGCGAACTAACCTTCTCTGGAAAGCTGACAGGATTACATGTGATAGATAGATAGATAGATGGATAGATACACAGATAGATAGATAGATAGATAGATAGCTGATAGATAGCTTGGTAGATAGATAGCTAGATAGATAGATAGCCAGCTAGATAGATAGATAGCTAGAGAGATAGATAGCTAGATACCTCGATAGATAGATGGCTAGATAGATAGCTAGATAGATAGATGGCTAGATAGATAGCTAGATAGATAGATAGATAGATAGCTAGCTAGATAGATAAAGAGGTAGCTAGATAGATAGCTAGATAGATAGATAGCTAAATAGATAGGTAGATAGTTAGCTAGATAGATAGATAGCTAGATAGCTCGATAGCTAGATAGCTGGATAGACAGCTGGATGGCTAGATAGATAGATAGCTAGATAGATAGAAAGCTAGATAGCTACATAGCTAGATAGATAGTTAGCTAGATAGCTCGATAGCTAGATAGCTGGATAGACAGCTGGATGGCTAGATAGATAGATAGCTAGATAGATAGAAAGCTAGATAGGTAGATAGATAGCTAGATAGATAGTTAGCTAGGTAGCTAGATAGGTAGATAGATAGCTAGCAAGATAGCTAGCTAGATAGGTAGATAGATAGCTAGATAGATAGATAGCTTGCTAGATAGATAGATAGCTTGCTAGATAGATAGCTAGCTAGATAGCTAGATAGCTAGCTAGGTGGATAGATAGCTAGCGCCCTGCCTCAATCCCCCCCACCCGCTTTTTATCTAACCCCAAGCTTCCGCATTTCTAAATATTTGGGTGAACATGCTCACATATAGAACATCCCATGCAAAATGGAAGGTGAACATGCCAAAATGTGGCAAATACCATATAAAATGGAAGGTGAACATGCCCACATGTAGTAAATCCCATGCAAAATGGAAGGTGAACATGCCAAAATGTGGCAAATACCATGCAAAATGACAAATTCAAGTTCCAAACCGTTGCAAACACTAGGCAAATGGTACCAGCCAAGAAATCCAAAAAAAATTCCCAAACCTGTTCAAAAAAAAAATCCTAAAACTATTTCACACCCATATAATATACGCATCAAACAGATAGATAGGTATGTAGATAGATAGATAGATAGACAGACAGATAGATAGATAGATTGATTGATTGATTGATTGATACCGAGATAGATACATGCATGCATATCTAATTTGCACACGCCAGGCATTTCATATAACCATATACCCGTACACATACATGTTGAGATTACGTGTGTTTAAAAAAAATATTGACTTTTCATGCGCGCGCCGCGGAATCGCAGAAGTCCCGTCTCATGACTCATGGGGTGACCAATATGCAGATCACCTGCAGGAAATCGAAAATCATCGACAGACGTGGGATTCCTTGCGCCTTGGCAGCCGGGAACTGCGGAGGCAGGCGCAGAATTCAAAAGAATGCCAGACAAAATTGGACAATTTTGTGATACTGAATTGGTTCAGGCCTATTTGTCTTCTAGTGTGAGCAATCAGGCGGTTTTGCGGATCAAAAAAGTAATCGTTTGCTCCAATAATTACTAGGCAACATGATCAGGATGGAACGATTTTCCCAGCAATAACAGGTTCAAAGCGTAAACAAACCACATTTCGGCCTACTTGTAACACAAAGACACCATACAAAATTGACGCAACAAATGCAGGTCCAGTCACTTCTATTTGAACCAAATCGACCCACAAAGATGACCAGCCGAGGTACTTCCCCATCGACGTCCTGTGTGGTACTTCCGGCACTGCCGTGTCGGAAGAAGAGGAGGTGGATTTGGAAGTGTTGCTGGGGACCTGGAAGTGCGTGGAAACTTGGCTTTCAAGTGACATCGAAAACCCAATATCTTTCGTCATTAACGGACACCAAATGGTATGGTTTGATAATATTCTTTAAATGGATCTTATAAACCAATATGTGGGACCCAGCCAACACCACAGACAACAACCAATTGGAGATGGTAGATGGTTTATAGGACCCATTTTTGCGAGGATTTCGGAGATGGTTTCTGTTCTTGGGTGAATCCCACATTAAATGGATGAGGTCTTGAGGGTTCCTGCCATCATGATGGCTGGGATCCTACACAGCCACGGGGAGGGATTCGTTTTTCCCTCCTTGGGTTTAAGTTTTTTTTTGGGGAACCATGTGCTTGGCAGATATGCGACGTTATTGCCAAAAAACTACATCCCCTGGAATTGTTTTGAGTGACTCCGTGTCCTCTCAGCAAACTTGCTTAGGACACTTGGGGGCTCGACGAGTTTCTGAGAACCAATGGTAGCTTGGCTGCCTGCATGGAGACCGAAACCGGGTTCGTTGCATTGTTTTTATTTTTTGCATTTTTTTTCCTTCATCTAATTGGGATGATTATCCTCAGCAGATGAAGGTGCTGTTTTGTTTTTTGATGGTCACCCATGACTCATGAGTTTGAAGTGCTCACTGCCTGTCAATCCATGGGCCCCGGTTGCGTGAATCCGTAGCTGTTGTTTTAAAGATTAAAGGGTGGGTTAAGCAAGTCCAACCAGCGCATACACTACAGCATAAAAACATGTAAAAACATATGCTACCTACATGTACTTACGATTATTTACGCATGTTTGAACGTAAATTATCATGTACCATGTGCCATGACATGTATTGACATGTCATATCATCCCTTGCATTTCGTGTGTTTTCCCGGTTCCCCAACTGCGCTTGAACGTTGTCGGGCTTCAGCTTCGAGGGGTGGGCATGCTGCAGCGGAAGTTGGCGGCCAACGCCAAGTGGCCCAACTGGGCAACCTGGTCCTGGAATGGATGGGGCGTGGAGCAGCGGAGCTGTGGCTGGTTCTAGGGAAATCCACTCATGTCATTCAAGAACCCAACAAATTTTGAGTGGATTATCATGGATTAACATTCAAAAAAAATGGATAATCCACTCATCTCAAATTTTGATCAATGCGAAGCTGAGATTATCATAGATGATCCCATTTTTTTGAGGGATTATCATGGATTATCATCATCCATGAGGCAGGGCATCTGTATTGGCGAAGCATTGTAATGGAACCCCCAGAGGGTTTTTGAACACTATTCAGTTGTAATGATGACATCGGATGATGATCCCGATTGACAAACATCAAATTGGTTTAGAGGCATCAGCGAGATCAATGCCGAAGAGTTTGGAATATAAATCTTCACTTGACTACATGTGGGTAAAACAAAAAAATAGCATCCCATTTGGGAATGGTTTGTGCAAGCTATTTATGGTGATTTGGAGGATGGTTTATTATTATTTTAACCACATTACATATGTTTGTTGGATCTCTACTTGGGCCATTGGTAAGGAGTTGGTTGGATGATGTTGTGGATCCAGCCGCTGATCACTGGGATTTCCGTGCCAGTGATCAAACCATTCCAAATGGGGTAAATCTAAAGATGTTTACTGTTACTTGTTGTTCTACCCCGATAAGGAAGTGAATTATCCCACCCTACAGAAAATAACATTATCCTTTGTTAATCTTAGGATTATCCAGTGAACAGGATGATTATCCTTATCATTTACCCTTTAGTGATAATCCAAGTGTGTTTCATGGACATTTACCGAACTAGCTACGATTCCGGGGGCTGAACCCAACAGCTTTCAGCCTAGGACTTTATACGGACTGAGCGGGGCATCCGCTTCGTGAACCACAGCATGTTGGGTGATTTGGTGGAGGATGTGGAGGGGCCAAGAGTCCTTTCGGCTTTGGAACATGTAGGCATGGGTCAAAGAAAACTTGTATACAAGCTATAAATAAATGAATAAATAGATAAATAAATAAATAAATATAGTTTTATGGTTCAATATCGCAGCACCTAAAAAAAGGATAGAAAAGTAAAATCACTGTTGTACCAGAGTGATATTTCGTGGCGGCAGGGTCAACAAAAATGCCAGCCAGTTTGGTGTTCACCAGGCACCTTTCTGGACAGACCCATGTAACTCCTGAGTATGGCATTTTGGCGTATGAGGAACATCTCAGCTGCAAGGTTTTCTCCCATTTCATCGGCCTGTCTGCATATCGTTTTTGCTTCAATCTGAAATTTTGCTTCGGTTTGTGTCGTCGAAGTTGCTTTGCAGGAACAGCACTGGTAGAAACAAGCTGGGTTTCAGTGAGCTTCAAATCGTGGTGGTTTTCCACACTTTCAATTTTCCAGTTTTCTCATACAACAGACCAATCAGGATGCCCCCAAAAATTGTAGACAGCACTAAATAAAACAAACAACGTGCAACATTTGCAAAACAATGGGTCTTCAGATCAGCCAACATTCATCAAAATTAATGAGACCCCGATTTTTTCCTTTCATCAATACATCAACTCAAATCCAAAAAATACTCGAGAAACTCCCAGTTTCCCTAGGTTTTACCGTGATTTTCGTAGGTTTTCCCCATGTTTTCCCCTGGGGCGCTCCCAAGGGGCCGCTGGGTCGGCTCCAGGAGATCGACCTCACGGAGGAGTACGCCTCCAAGGACGGCCAGGGGAATTTGGCCAAGTGCCGCGCCGCAGCTTGGGAAACATATGGGATCCAATCGCGAGCAGCGTCGAGATTTAGAACATATACCCAATTATACCCATTTTTTTTTGAAATATAGACAACATGGACATATATAAGATATGGAATAATAAAACATATAAGGATTTTTTTGGGAATATCCATCAGTAAGAATATAAACAATATGGAAATAATTATAAGATATTTACGATTTTTTTTTGAATATCTATGGGAATATCTATGAGTCTCAGAATGTAGACAAAATTTGGAAATGATTATAAGATATATTTATATTCCAATCGTTAGTGTCTATATGTTAAATTAGCACGCACACACATAATATCACATAATATATATATATACATAAATTAATAGACCAAACATATAAAATGTGGAATATTATATTATAACATATTTGGATCTATATATTTAGATCTATATTCGTTTAGATCTATATTGTTTAGATCTACATTTGTTTTTGTTTTTTCCACAATGTGTTGATATAAGTCTGACATATTATACCCTATATATATACACACATATATATATACATATGTAAATAAAAACTGTATGTGCACACATTTGGGGTGACACAAACGAGTTTGATCCGATTTCGGCAGTCCAGTCATCAGGGAACCAGCTCCAACTTTGGCCAGCTCCCAGCTGAGGAATGGCTGACCGTGAGGGATGGGACCGGCATGCTGCGCACGCGGAAGATGGGAGATCTCGGGGATTGGATCGAAGAACGGTTCCTCGATGGCAGGGAACCACCGGGAGATATCCAGGTTGTGCAACTGCAATCCCTATGCCAACAGGACAAAAAATCCAGAAAAATCGAAGCTGAGGAACTCCGCCCATGGATGTTGCTTGAAAAAAGTTTTAAGAGTTTTTCTTCTTCAAACCACACGCACACCGTAATTGATTGCCAAGTATCCATCGTCTAGGGTGTTTCATGGTCGAATGTCATTGTTAGATTCGTACTCTCCCAAGGTCCTCGCACGCAACCATATCATTGATGAGCCCCAAGTGGCCGAGAAATGTTGGCAAAGGTTGTCCTAAGAATACCGGTTTGATAAGCCCCCAAGAAGGGTTGATGAATGTTTCAATGGATTGGTTTTGTTGGGACAATTTACCGGAAACCATAGATTTTCCCATTAAATATGGGGTTTTCCTGTAAAATTTCCCACAAACTAATCCATTGAATGTTGATGGTGAAGAAAAACTCGTTCCGAGGAAGGTGACAGATGATCGCCTGGAGTTTGTTCTGACTCAGTGCCGCGGCGGCTGTATAGTAGGTGGGTTAGGTCATTTCTGGACATGGGATACCTGCTGTATTTAGGAATTGATTTTGGAAATGGGATATTGACATTACCCACATATCAATGACATTCATGATAGAAAAAAAATCATTTTGCTGTATTCATTGACATGTGGGAATCTAGGCCAGAATATTTCCCATCGCCAATTTGCAGATTGTATGATGCGTCCACACAAGAAGGGATATATCAAACATTTTCCATTTTCATACATTTTCCATTGGTCACCAGAGGAAAATATCTGATGTACCAATATTTGATGGCAAAGAAAGAATCGTTTCCTGCCGTTTCCTTCGGATTTCCTGGTTGGATCCCGGTGGCAAAAACCCCACAGAAAGCGCGTTCCATCTTCACAGATGATCCTCCTGGAAATATCAATGTGACCCTGGTTGACTAGGCGATAGCCCGAAAAAATATGAAGTTATGATCAATCCAAATGATCCCCCCCTGAACAACCCTAGGCTACCTAGGATTTACTTCTGGTTGACACTGTTTCTCGTAGGTACCGTAGGCATATCTACCCTCTGGAAAACTAACAAAAAACCATGGAAAATCACCATTTTCAATGGGTAAATCCACTATTTCAATGGCCATTTTCAATAGCAATGTTAGTTTACCAGAGGCTAACTTCTATTATATATCCCATTTATATCCCATTTATATCCCATTAAAACCCATTAAATCACCATTTTTACCAGAGGGTAGCTGCAAAACAAGATCCCCAGCGAGGCAAAAGAACGGCTCCAAATGGGGCCGATCCTTTGTGCGCCTTGAGGTGAGTGAAAAAAATGGGTGGAAAAAACCACGGGTGATGCGGTAAAAACCGGTGATGCAATAGGGAAATACTAGGGATATAGTAGGGAAATACTAGGGATATAGTAGGGAAATACTAGGGATATAGTAGGGAAATACTAGGGATATAGTAGGGAAATACTAGGGATATAGTAGGGAAATACTAGGGATATAGTAGGGAAATCATAGGAATAGGGAGGTTTTCAAGATGCAGAACAGCTTCAGAAACTGCCACTAGTATCCACTATTTATATAAGAGTAAAGGAAGGCGCACTTTTCCGCATTTTTGGGTTGGTATTAATTAGAAGACCTATTGAGAAATTTTAGGTTCGAGTGCTGGAGGTTAATGGGTAGGATTTTTTTCATAGTTTGCCTAGATCCCCCTATCCCCCTACTATATGATATTACCTTCCAGTAAATTAACATGGATATGGAACAGCTTTCATTGAAATTCATTTGATACCAGTCATAGATCAGTTGTAGATCAGTTTCCTCCTGAAACACATCTATCTTAGTTTACCAGAGGGCCCCTGGATTTGCTGAAGATTCTTTCCCCTCACTTTGAATCTAGTGGGAACATCTTGTATTTTTCATGGCCCCTTAAGCAGATCCAAGTAGTCTCCCTGAACAGTTTTCGCCAGCAAGACCAGGCCGAACAGGAGGTTTGAGATGGTTGAACCAGCACAATCACGGGGATATACATGGAGATATTGTTGATGAAATCCCAAGCAGGATGTTACGATGTCACAACCCAAGCTTGCCGCACATCCTGCCAAAGTAGTTTCATCTGATTTTCTGCCCTTGGATCCCCCACTTCGCAGGCGAGATGAGCACGCATCTCTGCCACCGGGGGCCCTTTTTGGGCCCAAAGGGCCCAAAGTGTGCAAGAAAAAGGGGTGCAACATGAATTCTGGCGAACCATAGTGATCCCCCGAGAGAGAGTCCTACCATGGAACTTCACCGGGAACTGTGAAGAACCAACTGAGGTGGCACTGTTGATTTGGATGCTGGAGTGATGACTTTGGATCAGGCTCAAGAGCAGCTGTGCCATGTTTTGAACAGTTCAACTTGCGGATTTTTTTCATCCTCCAACCCTCATTAGATTCAGTTGTGCATTTCTTCCCTCGCTTCAAGCACTGTGTTCAGAATGAGTGATTCGAACTACGCGCTTTCAAAAAAGCGTTCTGGACCACCATTTTCTCCAGTGAACAATGGTCATAGCATTCATTTTTGCTTGGTATCTTTCATGAAACGGTCAAAACTAATGCATATCATCAAATGCTGCATTTGTCACAAGAATTCTGTGCTTGCCGTGTTTCGAGTTCGGGTTCATGACATGCCTGAAACAGATGGCAGCCGTGTAGCCTGCACGAAATGGGATAAAACATTTTGAGCCCACGTGGAAAATCGTGGAGAGGTGAAGCAGGTGAAGCCGGTAAAGCCACAGGATTGTGGTATGGCCTTCGCACTTTCCATCACCGCACTTGCAGCACTTCCAGCACTTGCAGCACCGCAAGAATGCGACCAGGATTTGTGCCATATTTCCCATCTGCAATTGCAGGTCACAGGCATTCCAAATGCAACGAATTGGGCTGCGCTTGGCGGCGTGTGCCTTGCTGTGCAGTGTGCTGCAAGCTGCGAGACATGCAGCCTTACTTTGAAGTTTATCAGCAGGAAACTGCGGTCCCGATTTTCAAGAACGCAACGCCCAAAACGCTCCGCTTTCCCAATGGCTCGCTGCTGACCCTTCGTGACTATGTCTACCCAATGGTGGGCATTTACTGTTACCTGAACGGCTATTACGACATGGACCGCAAAAAGTTGGTGAATGATTATGAGTATGTTGAGAAGATCTCAGAAGCACAATGTGCAAGTGTAGAATGGCAGAATTCTGATTTGTCAATGCAGGGCATGTTTGTCCAATATCTGCATGAATCGGAGATTTTTGCACTCCCAATGGCTGAGAAGGGCATTTCTGATGTGAACCAGTCGTTGGTGGACAGTTTAGAAGCCCACTTCGTGGTGAAGTGTTTGTTGGGCCGCAGCCACGAAGCCATTTGCGACATCCCGGAGTGTGCCTGGCGGGGCTGTGTCACGCACGTGTCGCGTATCGACGGAACGAAGGACGCGACGGAGACCATTGTGAAGTACACCTCGTTGAACGAATGTCCCGAGCTCTGAAGGTGAAAGAGCTGTGAAAGAGATCTGTTTCAGAGATCGAAACATCGAAATCTGTCTGACAGCGAGATTGATTTTAGACTAGGCCAAGAGATCGAAAGATTTTTTTCAAAGAAATCATCACAGATAGATCACGGATAGATCGGAATCCTGTTTCACCTTTCTTTCACCCAAAGAAATCGTGGAAAAGTTGCCGCGCGCTTTTGCATGCTTTTGCATGCTGGCATGTGCGTGTGTTTAGCCTGTTTAGCCACGGGCCGCCACGGACTGTTGTGCAACGTTCTTGTCGCAACTGTTGGTCGTCTCTTGCAACCATAACCGGCAAGGAGTTTGCTCGCATCAAGTGACATGAGGACTGATCTTTTGCCGAACATGATGCGTGCAACCTGATAGTTGCTCAAACATAAGTTGCATACTCAAAAGTTCCACAGGGAACAAGACCCTCTCCTTAGCTCCATGGCACGTCATGCCACTTTGCGAGCGGGACTGGTGGTGGCACTGGGTGGCTCAGATGGAATGTGATGATTTTGTCAAGTAGTTATGCGGCATGAAGCACGAGCAGATGCCCTTCCAGTGTCTAGCGGTTTGAGAAGCGTCACAGAACATGCAAATGCCACCTTTTGCCAGGCATGCGGCGGATCGGCGTGACGGCGGGCGAGGAATGCGCCGGTGATGGCCCGATGCCAATGTTTCTCCAAATGGTTTCTTGGACGCAACTGATGCAAGTTGGTTGTAACAAGTTGTAACCAGGATGTTTTTGTTCCTCTGAAACCGAAGGTCTTGAGTTGGCCAGGTTGGGTCGTGTGTGTGAGACGGTACGCACATAAGCGACATGCTTCTGTCGCTCGTGAGGACTTGCGCACGCACAGCTCTGCTCAACGCCATGAGGACTATCCAGTCAATGGTTTGGATGGTTTAGCGCAGGCCTTGAGCACTCGAAGTTCAGCCAGGCGCCGGTTCCCAGCAGGAACTGGCGCCACAGAATGATTCCTTTTCCAAATTCTGCGTTCTGAGACGGAGAGGCATTCGAGTAGAGGTAACAGGTGACCGTCAGGTGAGTAAAAAATTCGCCCGATGTTAGGTTTTTATTGTGACTGAGCAGTTGTTGGCCCGAATGCTGTCTGAGGGGTGCTCGACACTGGCGGAGGAGGACATCGAGCGACCTATCCTGGAGGTCCTTGCAGAACATCCTGATGAGGCCAGAAGTTTGTTTTGTTTGCCTTTTGGATCCTTTTGGATTTTGGCTTTTTGTTTTTCAATTTGTTTAGGAGCAGAGGTCAATTTTTTGGTTGCAGTATATTAGTTATATCAGTCCAGGATGGCTGGTGCCTTTATGGAGCTCTAGTTGGCGGGACAGACTGTACTGCTGCACGCGAGGCCAAAGACTTGAGCTCCTACAAACAGCTCTTAGGCTCAAACTCCGAGTCTTGCCTGCTGCGAGCTCCTATGACGATAGTGATGCCTACGGTGGAAGTGGCGCCTGGCGTGAGCAATGTGACTCTTGACGGCTCCATTCACCCCGTGAATGCATTGGAAGCAATGGATTGCTTTGCAAATGGCTTTTGGAAAGCTCCCAGTGACGTCATGATCAAGAACTTCAGTACGGTGGCAACATTCTCGTCCCTATACTGTCCCTACATGTCGACAGTCGTGCCCAACTATCAGAAGATTACGATGCGAGACTTTCTGATGGAACAAGCAGCTGATAGCCAGACTCTGTGCGACTTGCTTCATCCCGAGCCTGAGGAAAATGGCGTGCACGCACCTCCGTCCCTGGAAGCCGGTCTAAAGCTGCGTGGTGCAGTGCGCTGCTTGTTGTCGAGCAATTCGGTAAATGACAACGGACGGCCCCGTGATCTGCGACATGGCAGGCTGTGCTAGACGATTTTGTATGGGACCACAGATGCGCTACCAGGATGCCTCCCTGTGTTGAAACAAAAAACAGGAAACGGAGTATACGCATCCGGAAAAAGGAGCAATGCATGCGTCCAGCGCTCAGAAGTTTCCTTTGTCTTGGTTTTGGAGTCGGCCTTAAACCCTGCATGAAGGTCCCTTGTCGCCAGTTCAGTCTCACAGTCACACTGTGCTAGTCACATTGCGTAGCCACAAGCGTCACACTGCGTAGGCGTAGCTGCTGCATGATCGTTTCCGGTCCCGTGTTGGTCACTCTTGCAAAGAATACATGCCAGTTTTGCAAAAGCTAGGAGTACTAAGGTGCTCTATATAGGCCCTTTTCACTTTCGATTCGGACCCCTAGTCTGGTTCCCCATCAATCAAATGCGGACAATGTCCGGATCTCATCTCCGTTTTCTCTTGCGTTTGTAACGCTACCGTGTGAGTTCTGACCAAGGCATCATATGGATCCAGGATCCATATGGTATAGCAACACCTGTTGCTGGCGAAAGGGGTGGAAGGTGCCCCATCCCTCGTCGCAGCGGGTCCTTGGGACATGTTGCAACTCTGTATGATTTCCCATCCATTGGCAATTCATGCTTCACGAAGTCAATGATTTTGTTCATCTGGCATGACGCCAGCTGGCTACATCAGATGCCTTTTCCCCATGCAGATGACGATGGCAGATGCCGCATTTTCATGCTGGACATGTTGCACTTGATCATAGTGTGTGTCACAGCCCTTTTTGGCTCAGGCTCAAGGCAAAACAGTGCTTGTTTTTCCTGAAACTGCTGTCATCATGGTGGCTAGGCAGCGGTTTCAGATGTCTGAAAGTGCGCAATTCCATTCAAAAGATGATCTGCCGAATTCCATGCGCAATCTACTGAAGCAAATGGAATCACTCTGTTGGATTGGGCATAGCAGAGTGTTGAATCACTTTTTGCCAAAGCAATCGTTGAATCAATTGTTCGATCAATTGTTGAAACAGGATGGTTCAACAACTGAATCAGTCATGGGAGTTGCTGAATCCACGGGTGAGTCTAGTCTAGTTAAATCAAGGTTGAACAAATTGTTGGATCAATAGTTGCATCAATTCCTGAATCTAGTTTAAATCAGCCGTGACATCAGACGGATTAGATCATTGGATAAATTTTTGAGAGAATTGCTGTACAAGCTTGTGAAGCAAGGTGTTGAACCTATTCGGATCAAGGTTGAGTCAAGTTGAGCCCGTTGCATCTTCAATTCACCCAGTCACCCTTTAAAACACCAAGGCGGGATTCGAGGTGGTGCCACTGGTCCCAGTTGATGAGGAAACCGGTTTCCATGAAGGCACGTGGACCGACAGTGGAAAGTGCTGCAAAAAGGCAGTGCTGGGAGCATTGGCTGTGGCAGTTCTGGGGCTTTTCGGGCTTTGTGTCGGGCATGTTGCTTACGCCAAGCCGATTGCCCTGAATGAGTTGGCTCAGCCGGGAGCTGCGGGCATCAAGCAGGACGTTGGAACTTTCGGCGATGACATCCTGGAAGACGACTGGCCGGTTCTGAAGAAGGACTGAATGTATTGAACGCTGAACTGAAGGTTGAACGATCGAGCTTTCAAAAAAGATCCGGTTGATTTGAATTACTTGTGACACATTCTTATTTGGCCATTTGCCCCAGAAAAAGTTTCATGTACTTTTCCAACGTTGAACGATTTGCCATCATACCGTTAAAGGGAAAGTTAGAATGCGGTTTTGGCTTCGCGTGATGGTGGCCCGTTTGAACCCCTCCTCACGGCAGTCGCGTTCTAACTGGAGGATCACCTGTAAATAGCAGCCACACAGTTAGAATGCGGCAGAAAAGGTATGAGAAAATGTATGTTTAACTGGTATTTTTTTTAGGTGACATGGAGTTAGAATGCCTCGGTTGAAAAACGCACCAATAGCCCATGTCGCACAGTTTTTGCTGGTATATGCGCGGAAAGGCTCAGTTAGAAAGTCTGCCGTTCATGCTTTGCCGAAGGAAGTTTAGAAGTCAAACTTCCGACAATATGGAGAGATGGAAAAGCGTAGGTGGGAAGAGTCAGAGAAGAGAAGAGAATAAGAAAGAAGATCAGAGAAGAGAAAGAGTCAGAGGAAAGAAGATGCAGGTGCGCGAAAAGGTAGAAAAGTCGCGAAACACTGTGTTTTTCCAATGATTTGTGGCTCCGGAGGGTCGAAAAGTAAGCTTGCTAAAGCATCGGGTGCAGAGCCGTCTGGGGAGATGAGAGATGACAATTTGCACGCCGTTGTGGCGCGAAGCACATTTCGAAGTCAACAGTGAAAAAATTGACTCTCGGAGCACTTTTGGAAGTTGAGATGATGAAAAAGTACACGCCGTTGTGGCGCGAAGCACATTTCGAAGTCAAAATGTAGAAAGCACTTCACGTTCGGAGCACTTTTGGAAGTTGCGATGTCGAAAAAGTGCACGCCGTTGTGGCGTGAAGCACATTTCTACGTCCAAATGTAAAAACACCACATGCTCGGACCACTTTTGAAGGTTCAGATGTGGTTTCGCGTGGCAGGCGCAAGGGATTCTGCACCTTGCCAAAAGTGAGCAAAAAAACGTGAGGGTATTGTAGAATTTCCAGGACGATGGCAGGCGTGGGACATTTGAAGAGGATGTGGAAAGATGCATGTCACATGGCAGGCGCAGTGCAAGAGACATGTTCATCAGAGATGTTAGGAGGTCAGGGCGCTGATTTCCTGAGAAGGGCTGCATTTTGGAGCATCAGATCTTCAGGTTTGCTAAGATGATTTTGCGTGACAGGTGCAGCACTTCGTATGACCTGGCATCACTTTTGCGGGCAGGCGCAGCACTTTAGAGAGATGCAGTGGAAAAATCGCGAGACATATTGGTACGAGGCCGTCAGCTCTGCACTCCGCGTTCCATTGTTGAAGGAAGTCTTCAGAATTGCTTAGTTTTTGATCTTGTCAACTTCGAAAATTGAAGGAAGTCTCGCAGAATTGCTTCGTTTTTGACGTTGTCAAGTTAAAAACATGGAGGAAATTTCGGGGAATTGCTACGTTTGCGATGTTGTGAAGTTCAAAAATTGAGAAAGTCTCGCAGAATAGCTTCGTTTTCAAGCTTGCAGATAGACAGGTAGATAAATAGATAGATCCATAGATAGATAGATAGATCGATAGACAGATAGACAGAAAGATGGCTAGATAGACAGACAGGCAGATAGAGAGATAAACAGATAGACAGATATATGGACAGATAGATAAACAGATATATAGATAGATAGATGGATGGATGGATAGATAGATAGATCGATAGATAGATAGATCGATAGATAGATAGATAGATAGATAGATACATAGATAGATAGATAGATAGATAGATAGACAGCTGCAACTACACTACACTACTGTTACACTACACTACAACTACAGCTACAGCTACAACTTGAACGACACTCCTTCAACTACTACAACTACAACTGCAACAACTACAGCTACACTTCAACTACAACTTAAACTACAACTACAATTGCCATTACACAACGCCACAGCTACAACTACTACAACTAGTACCGCAACTACAACTGCAGCTACAACGACAACGGCAAGTACAACTACAACTGCAGCTACAACAACTATTGCAGCTACTGCTACTACAACTGCAACTGCAACTACATTGGCAACTACAACTACAACTACCACCACCAGTAAACCACACTACAACTACCACTACCAGTAAACTACGCTACAACTACAACTACAACAACTACAACTACACTACAACAACAGTTTCCACGACACCACAAGTACAACTACAACTGCGACTACGACTACACTAGAACTACAGCTACAACTGCAACTACACCTACTACAATTAGTGCAACTACAATTTCAACTGCACTTCAACTACACTACAACTACAATTACATTGCACTTCGCTACACCGCGCTACATCCTGCAGTTGTGGGTGAGGTGACCGCTGCAACCACTCCAAAAATCACAGCCACCTTTCGGTCCATCAGTGGATCCGCTCTGCTATCCATGTATCATAACAATTCACCTTTCCGATAGTTTCCTATCTTTGAAACTTCTGCCGCCGCCTTGTGCGGTACTACTCGTACTCTAGTGACAAGTGGGAACACAAGTGAGATACAAATCTCAGTCGAACATTCAGACAGCCTGCCAATGCCATTGGGGGAGGCTGTTTATTCATTCTGCACTCCACAAGTTTTGTTCGTTTCCTGTTCTCTTTTTTTTCCCATTGATCTATATCTGCTGTAATTTCCGTGGGCATTCTATCTGTTGTTTTTCCCCGCTATAGCCACGTGTTTGTGACCTGGAGGGAGCATGGATTGCCCTTTCCTCTTATCCGATCTTATCCGCTTCTCTTTCCTTGTCCTTTTTCTTCTATTATGTTCCTTTCCCTTCCTTTTCTTCTACGTCTTTACTGCCCATTGGTCTATATACACTATAGCCACGTGTTTGTGACCTGCAGGAGAATAAGGAGTGCCCTTTTCTCTTATCCTCTTTCCTTTTCTCGTCCCTTCCTTCAGAATGCTGTTTTGGCTTCGCGTGATGGTGGCCCGTTTGGCCCCCGCCTCACGGCAGTTGCATTGTAACTGAAGGATCACCTGTAAATATGCAGCCACACAGTTCGAATGCGGAAGAAAAATTGGTGAGAACATATATGTTTTGACTGGTATTTTACAGGCGAGATGGAGTTAGAATGCCTTGGTTGAAAAACACACCAGTAGCCCATGCCGCACAGTTTTTGCTAGTCTATGCGCGGGAAGCCTCAGTTAGAATGCCTGCCGTTCATGGTTTGTACTCTTTTGACCGGCGGGAACACAAGTTATAGACTAACGTGCTAACATTCTCAGTTGAACATTCAGGCAGCCTGGCAATGCCATTGGGGGAGGCTGTTGATTCATTCTACACTCCACAGGTTTTGTTCATTTCCTGTTTTTTTCCATTGATCTATATCTGCTGTAGTTTCCGTGGGCATTCTATCTGTTGTTATTCCCAGCATTCGCAGAAGTGCTTGTGGCCTGGAGGGAGCATAGACTGCCCTTTCCTCTTATCCGTTCTTATCGGCTTCCCTTTCCTTGTCCTTTTTCTTCTATAATTTCTTTACTGCCCATTGATCTATATCTGCTGTAGTTTCCCTGGGCATTCTATCTGTTGCTTTTTCCCACTAAAGCCACTCACCTGCAGGAGAACATGTAGTGCCCTTTTCTCTTATCCGATCTTACCCGCTTCCCTCTCCTTGCCCTTTTTCTTCTGTAATGTTCTCCTTTTCTTTTATGTCGTTTTTCGCCCATTGATCTATATCTGCTGTTGTTTCCGTTGGCATTCTGTCTGTTTGTTTCCCCCACTACAGCCACGTGTTTGTAACCTGCAGGGGAACCTGGAGTGCCCTTGCCTAGTCCTTGTGTTTCCATAATGTTCCTTTCCCTTCCTTGTCCTGTATGTCTCTATTCATTGATCTAAACCTGCTGTGGTTTCCGTGGGCATTCTATCTGTTGTTTTCCCCCGCTATAGCCACGTGTTTGTGACCTGCAGGAGAATAAGGAGTGCCCTTTTCTCTTATCCTCTTTCCTTTTCTCGTCCCTTCCTTCAGAATGCTGTTTTGGCTTCGCGTGATGGTGGCCCGTTTGGCCCCCGCCTCACGGCAGTTGCATTGTAACTGAAGGATCACCTGTAAATATGCAGCCACACAGTTCGAATGCGGAAGAAAAATTGGTGAGAACATATATGTTTTGACTGGTATTTTACAGGCGAGATGGAGTTAGAATGCCTTGGTTGAAAAACACACCAATAGCCCATGTCGCACAGTTTCTGCTGGTATATGCACTGGTATATATGCGCGGGAAGCCTCAATTAGAATGCCTGCCGTTCATGGCTTGTACTCTTTTGACAAGTGGGAGCACAAGTTATATACAACCGCACTAACATTCTCAGTTGAACATTCAGACAGCCTGGCAATGCCATTGGAGGAGGCTGTTGATTCATTCTAAACTCCACAGGTTTTGTTCGTTTCCTGTTCTCCCTTTTTTCCTAATGATCTATATTTGCTGTAGTTTCTATAGGCATTCTATCCGGTGTTTTTCCCAACTATAGCCGCGTGCTTGTGGCCTGGAGGGAGCATGGACCGCCCTTTCCTTTTTCTTTATAATGTTCCTTTCCCTTCCTTTTCTTCAATGTCTTTAACGCCCATTGATCTACACGTGCGGTAATTTCCGTGGGCATTCTTTCTGTTGTTTTTCCCACTATAGCCACATGTTTGTGATCTGCAGGAGAACATGGAGTGCATTTTTCTCTTATCCTCACTTTTCTCTCCCGGTCCTTGTTCTCTATCTTGTTCCTGTTACTTCCTTTTCTTCTTTTTCTCCAATGCCAATTGATCTATATCTGCTGTAGTTTCCGTGGGCATTCTAGCTGTTGTTTCTCCCCACTATAGCCACCTGCTTGTGACCTGCAGGAACATGAACTGCCCTTTTCCTCTTAGCGGATCTTATCCGCTTCCCTTTCCTTCTCCTTTTTCCAGAACAATCTGATAATTAATAGATGATATTCATAGCTTGTAGACATTCTGAGTACGGAATTTGTGCAAAGGGTTCTCTGAAAACAACAGGAATTTAAAAACAGGTGGTGAGGCATTCTAAGTGAATTGATTTTTGCCGTGCGTTTGCCGCATTCAAACTGAGCTGGTAAAATATTTGGAATTCGCGGAGGCATTCTAACTTTCACCTTAAGATTATCATTTGGCTGACCATTCATGAAGAGGATGAGGTTATGTTATGACATGCTATCACTTATTTCCAAACCAGGCTCCAAGGGCCCCAAGGATCCCAAGGCCACAAAAACTAACACTCCGCTTCTATCTGTTTGTATAGCTGATCTATGTTGATCGCTGAGGAGATCAAGAGTGAGCAATACAACCCCGCGGGCTGCTTCGCCAAGTTGAGCTTTGCCTCTGCCTGGAGCGCCTCGCTCGGGTTGAAGTTGATGGCCGCAACCAAGGACAGAGCTCGCTCCCGGCGGTTTCCCGACAGTCGTGCAGCACAACGAAGATGGCAACACAACAAGACTGTTGACACTTAACACTTTTCAAATTTGTCTCCAAGGTCCAAGATGTTAGAAGTGTGAACATGATTCAGCATTATTTCCCCCCCCATAAGAAAACAATGGAACCATTCCTTGGCTGGGTGTTGTTTATTGCCTTGGGCGAATTTGTTAGTGGCTTCACTGGCAGGTTTTTGTTTGTGAATGGAAGGCTTTCACTGTGAAACTTTCACTATTCTCAACTGACCCATGACTATGATTGGGGTTACACAATGCCGTTGCTCAGGGAAGCTGCTCTTGAGATAGCTTTATTGTAATCTGTAACGGTAGGTAAACAAAGCCGCATATGATTGCCGCATATGCCCATTTTTGCATTTGGAGATGTTCATCCACTTCTTGCCTCCTTGGAATGTTCCTTTACATCCACTGAATTATCTGAATTCATCCACCCTCCTGTCGTTGGTTGTATCACTCCACCCCTGGTACTGGCACGGTTCCATCAAGCCAGGAGTGCAACCCACGAAGTTACCGCGATGATCCAACGCCCTTCCGTCGGCTACACGAAGTACACCAAGTGCCAGGCTTGCCGCAGGAGGCGGTGCATTACCCCACATCTCCATGGGCGCAGCCAGCTGGCTCAAACTGCCGAGTCTCGGGTGATGGGTGCGAAACAGTTGAGACATGTCGAGACATGTTGAGACATGTTGAGACATGTTTGGTAAACTTCTTCCCCAAACAGGTTTTACCTGTGATGGGTTCTTACTTCATCTTACTTCTGGCCCTGGCGGTGTCGGGTTGCTTGGTTCCTCTGTTTTCCTGTTTCATGGCTCCGGTTGTCTCGAGTTGTCTCTGCCTGCTGCGTTGGCTGCCTTTGGTTGCATCTGGCTGTCCGGGGTGGCTATGGTTGCTTGGATTGCTTTTTTTCTCCGGCTGCCTCTGGCCGTGCTGGGTTTTGTGGCCTGCATGTGTAGGTATGTTGTTTTTGCTTTTGTCTCGGGCTGTGCATGGTTCTTGGGTTCATGTTCTCAAACTTGCTGGGTTCACCTATGAAGCGCATGAAGGGTTCTGGTGGCTAAGGAATGGTGGTATGGACGGGTCTCCGGTTGCGCTTCTTTCTATTCAGCTCTGCTGGTTTGCTGGGCCGCAAGGTTTGCGGCGTCTTTTTATGTGTTTGGTTCTCCATGTTCTATTCAACTCTTTCGGGTTGCAGGGGCGGTTTCTTTTTCCTGCTTGGGGGGTCTGCGCTGGAAGCAAAATGGGACATGTCATTGAATGGCGGGGGGCGCCGTTTTGAGACATAGCGAATTTTTGCACGCGAGCTGCTGATTCACCAAGAACGGTGTGTGTGTGTGATTCAGAATTCGCAGACATTTTGGTGCCGCGGATTCAGGCCATTTGTCATATGAAAAACCCTGAGAGGCTATGATTTTGGTTGGCGCCCGCAATCGAGCCAGCTCGCCAAGTCACGCGGGAATGGCTTCCCTTTGTAAACTAGGTCCTAGGATGTCCTAGGTTCCATCCATGGGGATGGTTGTAGTCATGCATTCTGATGTGTATTGTTTTGCTTAGTGTTGTTTGCAAAGCTCAGATCGCCCAAGATGGCCGCTGTCGCCAAGGTATAAGGAATCGGTTGGCCCGGTCGTGAAAGATGGTGAGAAAGACACTGACATCGATATCGACGGCCTGGCGGCTGAATCGGCCTACAACTTGACCGAGGGCCTGTTACGACTGAAGACTCGCTTTGCCTTCGGCAATCGTTGGACCAT